AAAAAAAAAAAAAAAATTTCAATCTCACAAATATTTTCAATCAAGAAGAAAAAAAAAAGAAAATTTTTCAATGAGAAAAAAAAAGACGAAAACGAAATTTGAAATAGTTACAAATTGGTTACTTCCTTTTCTTTTTTTTCTGCTTTTTCATCCGTATAACATTTTTGAAAAAAAATTTTTCAATCTTATTATTTGAGTTAATTTAAAAAATTTTTAGAAAAAAAGATTTGTAAAATATTTTTTATTTTCTAGTTTAATTGCTTATTCATTAAACTATCGCAGTAATTAAATCATTATAGTAATTTGTTTAAATTATCATTAATCGTTTGTTAAATTATCACAATTTATTAATTTTACTAGTAAATTGTCACAATAATTTGCCTAAATTATCACTGGCTGTTTATTAAATTATCACAATTTGTCAATTTTGCTAGTAAATTATCAGAATAATTTGTTCAAATTACTGCTGGTTGTTTATTAAATTATCATAATTTATCAATTTTACAAATAAATTATCGCAATAATTTGTTTAAATTATCACTCTTTATTGATTAAATTTACACAATTTATTTATTTTGCAAACAAGTTACCACAGCAATTTGTTTAAATTATCACTACTTGTTTATTAAATTATCACTATTTATCAATTTTACAAGTATATATCTAATTTGACAACTTTTTTTTTCATCTCTCATTTATAAATAATTTTTAGAAAATGATATGGATGCAATGAAACATTTCGAACAAACAACAATTCGACCAAATTTAAATGCTGTATCATTTTCTTTTTTTTTTTTCATATCGTTTATGAATTTTTAATTAATATAAAATTTAATCGATTGTATAAAGATATATTATTGCTGAATATAGGATGAGAATGAATGATCCAAAAATAACACAATAAAAGATGATATAATGTGTATAATTAATAAAATATATAATTACTAGAATAATAAATAATATTGCTAAAATAAATTTAATTTAACAAATTACTAGAACAAATTCAATAGAATAAATTTAATTAATGAAATTCATAGATTGCATAAAATTGGATTGTACATTTGTATTTTAATTTTATTTGATTTAAAATTATACTTTAAATTAATTGATAGACGAGAAAGAGAGGCAGATGAAATACTAAAATTTAATATTTTCAAAATTTTAACTAATCAAAAAAAAATGAATGAATGTATAATTTTGTGAGAAAAATATGATTAAATTTCAGATTTTACCCGGACAACATTTCACAGCTAGAGAGTTACGAGCACTTTATCGTACATTTAAGGATGCATTACCAATTTGTCGTGAATCATTCCGTAATATATATGCTAATATTTTTCCGCACGGTGATGCGGAACAATTTGCTGATTTAATTTTTGATAATATCGTATGTCAACATGCGGAATATGTTACATTTACGGTAATCTTATTTATCATTTATCCTTGTAATGGATTTGTTTTGTTAAAAGTATAGAACACTATAAAAATTTAGAAATTTTAATTTGCAGGATTTCATCATGGCATATTCAATTTTGTCCAGGGGAACAATGGAAGAAAAATTAAATTGGATGTATAAATTATATGACCCGAGAAATACCGGTAAAATTGAATGGGAACAAATTTTTAGAATTATCACTGCTACTGATGATTTGATTGGTTAGATTTTGGAAAATTTTTTTAAAAAAAAGAAGAAATTTGTTGTGAACAATGTTAACAGTGTTAAATTTGAAAGGAAAAACATAAATTTGAAATGAATGGTAATTGTAATATTTCCATGCGATATAATACAATGGTAGCAGTTTATTTTTAATAATTAGAAAATGTTCAAAACATTAATTATACAATGTTAACAGTATTAAAAAATCGAGTTCAGGGATCAAAGCAATGCCAGCAATATCATCGGCTCAACGAATAGAACAAGCTAGACAAATTGTACAGGTAGACGACATATATTGCTATACCAGCAATTTCTGTAAAAATTTTTGCGAATCAGTTAACAAAAATAAGAGCTGACCATTGTTACACATTGTTAACAAGCAACTTTTGATCGGTGTCAGATCAAGAAAATGTTCAAATTTTCTGATATTTCAGAAATTTGATCATGAAAAGAAAGGTTGGATATCACGCGAAGATTTCATGGCAGTGTGCAGCCAAGATGAACATATCCTTCAGTCCATTTCAGCACTTTGCTCAGCAATTATGATATGAACAGTGTAACAAAAGTGGTGTGTTCAGGAAAATAAAAATGACATATAAAAAATATTTTGCAAGCATCATATTGTTGGCAACCAGTATATCTCAAAAAAGAGATTAAAGAAATCTCGTAGATCGGTAAAATCGTGTGTTCAGTTATGCTTTAGCTTAAATAACGAAAAGAATACTTCAATTTTTCTTGCTTATGAATATCAAGCATTTTATCGGTAATAGAAGTAAGGAACAAAACTTGATTTTTGATTTAGTAATCAGAAATTCTGAATCACCACTGAGGTTTACTCCATCCTTATCGTATCTTGTAATCCAGTAAATTTGAAGTTGGTTCCAAATGATTCCAAATAATGTCATAGTCTACATATTGCCTTTTTTGCTGTCCCTC